TTATATTAAATGTGCAGGAACTGGCAGATGTAGATAAGGAACAGAGAAAATTCATTAAGTGGCATTTCTCCAGCTCTGCGTTCTTTTTCTCCCTCCAAAAATGCAACAATGCCAGATTAAATCATAAATGAATTTAAATTACTGCATGACATTGTAGAAAAAGTTTACTATGCAATCACTTTTGTTCTCCCACAAATTTTGGTGAAAACTTTTGGAAAATGAAACCTTAAGAAATTACTCAAGTGCTGGAAGCATCAGTAAATTTTCACACTATTTCCTGAACCTGTGTGCAATATTCGTATGTAAATTTAACCTGAATCTGCACATCTGTTCTAAATACTTGGGTCAAGCAAAGTTTTACTGCACAGCTTTGACCTAGAAAAGCACTTAAATAAAATATTCATGCTTGTGTGGAGAAATGAACCTAAAACCAGCCAGTCTGTGACTTTTCTTGCCACACTGAACAGAAAATGGGAGGCTGTTCCTTGTGCTGGGAATATGTGAAATCCGATGTCCTACTGAGCTTCTATTTCCATTCATGTTTTTTAGTCACCATTGGTTCTTCTCCACGTCCTTGGATGTTTTATATCCTCACACAGAAATGATGTTTTATATTGCCTTCATCTGCAATGCTCTTTCATTGTTGTCACAGGGCTCTAGGGAGAAATAAAACAATAATATTCAGGAGATGAAGTGGGTGTGTTTAACATTATAAAAACCCAGCGTGCCTGGAGCAGCAGGAAAGACATCTCCAGGCTCAGGTGCTCTGGGGCAGGTGTCCTGTGCTGCCCTCGCTGTGCTCAGGGCTGGCTGTGCCATCTGGGCACCCCGAGCCACCTCCGGCCTGGCCAAGCCCAGCCTGGCTCAGAACCCCATTAGGAATAATTAAAATTACCTTTTTGAGTAGAGCAGCTGAATTGGAAGAGATAATGAGGACCCCTCAAGTATCTTCTTATGCATTCTGAGGATTTTTGGGAGTTTTGCCTTGCCCCAGAGGCTCAGCCCCATTTCCCCACATCTTTGTCATTTCCATGCACTTTGCTGCACCTTATCTCTACAGAATTCTTGAAATCCAATTTCATCACGTTTCTCCATTGTCTCCTTTCCTTTCTCTTTCTCTCACTCATTAAAGGAGTTTGTTCATTTCTGGCATTCAGTGGGAGTCAAAAAAAAAAACAGCCCCAAAATTTTGCTGGACAGGATTGTGGGTGATGGCTGGGTCACAGGAGAAGGGAAACCTTTTGGTTTGAGCTGAACACTGGATGTCATTTTCCAGGATTTCTAAATAATTTATAATTAAATCAATTTCGTTATTAAGGATGAATATACTCTGTTTTTTAGATGAGTCTAAGTGAGTAATTTCACCAAGACTTAGAGAAAAGATTAGAATAATCTGTATAATTTACCCTTGTTTGTGGTTCTTAAAGAAAATAATATTAACAGAAATGGAAGAGTCTGAATGACTGATGTCTGAATTCCAGCATTACGTGGACTATAGTCAGGAAAATAAGGATGACCATGGATGCTTTAGACAGTCTGTTCCTCAGTCTTATGGTGACTAAATGGACAAATTTTATCTTAGAAAAAAAGCAGCTCCTGGAGTTGCAGTGTCTCCTTGGCTTTGGAGGCTCCTCAGGTGAATTTTACACATGAAGAACACAGGAGAGGAGCTGTCCTTTGTGTGCCCTCCTGGCAGCGAGCTACAGGGCATCATTTCAAACTCAGGAATTCAGCCCATCCCAGTAACTGTGACTGGGATTATTGAAAATCCCTGCAGCTTTTCCTTGTGCTGTCCCAGCCATCCCTGCCGTGCTGGAGAGCTCCAGCGCCGTGCTGAGCTGCTGGAGCTGCCCCACCACTGGGCACAAATGTTCTGTGCTGGAAAACAGGCATTGTTCAGATGTCTGCTCCTTCCATTCTTGGAGTTTTTCCTTCCAGAGCTTTGTGTTGCTGTCTGAAGCTGTGTCAGATAAAAATTTCTGCCTCAAATCCCTGTCAGTGGTGCCCATGGAATTTTCCCCTCATGTGTGAGGTTGAGTTTTGGGGGTGTGATATAAATTGTGGGTGCCTTTGGTACAAGTCCCATGTGGAGGAGCTGAGAAAGGGGCTCAGCCTGGGAAAAAGGAGGCTCAGGGGGAATTTCTGGCTCTGAACAACTCCCTGACAGGAGGGGACAGCCAGGGGGTGTCAGGCTCTGCCCCCAGAGAACAAGGTCCACAAGAGGAAATGGCCTTGAGGTGTTCCAGGGGAAGTTTAGATTGAATATTAGGAAAAATCTCTCCATGGAAGGGCTGTCAAGCACTGGAAGAGGCTCCCCAGGGCAGGGGAGTGGTGGAGTCACCACCCCTGGGAACATTCAGAAACATGCAGATGTCGTGCAGTGGGGATGTGGTGGACTTGGCAGCATTGGCTTAAAAGTTTGATTCAATGATCTTAGAGGTCTTTGCCAACCTTAGTGATCCCATGAGTCTCTGATTTTTAGTGTAATATCTTCCTTTTGGCAGCCCTCTGGTGCTGCTCAAAGTGCCCTGGTTTGGTTTGAGTGGCGCCTCATCCCTCACCTGCATTGCCCAAACTCCTGTGACCTCCATGGGCTCGCAAAAAGCCACAGGGGAAAAGATTTTCCCAGCCTTGGGAGCTGCCTGGGAGCTCTCAGAGGAGTTTGGATGCTGGAGGGTGATGCAGGCACTTGGTGCTGGCTGGAACCTGTCCCAGTGTCCCTGAGCACGAGGCCCTGCAAATTAAACGAGGTGAGGTAATAATAACCCCTGATCCAAGGGAGAGGCTCCTGTTTCCCAGCAGCTGAGGGGGAAATGAAACTTTGATGAGTTAACCAAGAGGCAGAAGCCTCCCAGCAGCTGTAAGGAGACACCTGAAGGGAAAGGTGAGTCAGGATGTGGCTGCAGTGGGGCAGGACCAGCCTGGCCAGGGCAGCAGCGCTTTCTGTGGCAGTGTGGGGTTTAGATGCTGGGAGCTGATACCTGTTTCCCAGTAAGCATCTCCTGTGGAAAAGCTGCTTGGGTGAGCATTCAGGCAAAGCAGGCAAGTCCACACACCACACTCACCATGGAAAGCTCAGCTGAGAGAGGCAGAAGTGCCTTTTTCGTGATAAATTCCAGCAAAAGTTTATTCCAGCACGCCAAAGGGAAATCAGGGACAAAATACCAAACCAAGTGGTGTGCACAGGGTTAAGTATAGGGTTAGTGGCCAATGAGGGCCACAAGGGCAGGGCAAAGGGCTTGGCCCTACAGGGAAGATGGGACAGCCACCAGGGATACCACAGCTACGAGGAAACAGGGAAAGGAGAAACCACGAGAATTTGGGACATATGGGCAAAGGAAATGGGTGGATAATAGTGCTGCAAGGCTCCGTGGGGGAAATCTTCTCTTTCAGCCCAGGAGGACACTCTGTGGTAAATTCTTCCAAGGCAAGGACCTGGAGATTTGCCTGAAGGGTTCGAAGGATTCCACAGCTTTCATCCCGAGGAAAAGGAGAAACCACCCAGGAGGGACTGGGGGTCACAGGGCTGCTGGGGGAGCCAGGCACAGAGTGGGGATTCTTGGCATTCCCTCACTGCTTGGAGAGGACGTTTGCAGGGCTTCCCATTCCTGAGGTATCCCACATGCTTTGGGGGAAGCAGGGATTTGTCCTGAACCACCCGAGCCCAGGAATCCTCATGGCGTGGGGTTGATGTTTCCTCCCTCACAGGCACCTTTCTGTTCCTTCTGTTCCTCAGCTCCAGTGTTTTCCTGGTGCCATGTACAGATGGATAGCCATAAAGAGCCATAAATAATCCTAAATAACTATAAATAGCTCCACGTTGCTGGTCAGGTTCAAAACCTAAATTTCTGTAAGGGTTCCAGCTGGGTTGGTCTCCTCTCTAAAGAAGACAAGAGGAAACAACCTCCAGGTGCACCAAGGGAGGTGTAAATTGGATATTGGGGAACATTTCTCCACGGGAAGGGGTGGCCAGCATTGGAACAGGCTCTGGTGGAGTCATTGAAGGGATGTGTGGATGTGGCACTTGAGGACAGGAGCTGCTGCTGGCACTGGGAGTGCTGGGGGACAGCTGGACTGGACGATCCCAAAGGTCTTTTCTAATCTAACCAGTGATATCAAGTATTGTTTGGCAGAAATATGGAACATTTCTTGCAGTTTTTTATGCTGCTCAGAGGGGTATTTGAGCTCAGTTATTTTACCTTGATGATTGCAAGTTTTGGGTTTTTTTAGTTTATTTGGTTTTGACTTTTTTATCTAGTTTAGTTTTGTTTTGCTTATCTGGAGAGGCACCAGACATGCATCCTTTAATATAATTAAAGAGGAGGGAAAAAAGCATCCCAGTGGATTGTTCAGCACAGCCACCCATTCTTACACTGTGTCCTTAAATTGAAATGCTCTTAAATTGAAGCATAATGTAAAATGCATGGAGCCATGTTGTTTGTTTTTGCTTTTCTGTGCATATTTACTTGTCACTTTGCATTTTTCCTGTTGCAAAAATGTGATGCAATTCATTCCAGGGATGTGCTGAAGTCCATTTGCAGCCAGTGGTTGCTTTGAAGTAGCACAACAGAGGCTTTATTGATTTATCCTTTGCATTCAGAACAAAGACTTGTGTGATCTGCTACAGGTATTACCAAAAGCTTCCATCACCTATTCCAGCTTCATCCCAAAAATAATTTGTGCTTTAGGATCTATTTTCAAAAGTCATTGCTTGTATGTATGTATAGATATAGGTCTTATTCATATAAACCTCTGAATTCAAAGACTTTTTAATGATTAAACCTGACAGGAATTAACACCAAATGGAGCTCGTGAGAATTCTGTTCAGAATATCAGGACAAATCCTCTCATAAAAGCACAATTGAAGTGTAATATTTACATTTGTCAATATGCCATTGGTGCTACAGCTTGGAATTTTTCTTGGAGAAGTAATTTATAGGGATCATTTTCTATTTAATGGCAATTTGACCTGATTTGTTTTTATTTTATTTTCTTTACAGGATTAGCTGGCACTGCTGCAGACCTAGAAAAAAGAAAGCTTATTTTTGGAAAAAATTTTATACCTCCAAAGAAGCCAAAAACATTCATACAGCTAGTTTGGGAAGCGTTGCAGGATGTGACTCTTATAATCTTGGAAATTGCAGCCATCATATCTTTGGGGCTTTCCTTTTATCAGCCACCTGGAGAAGGGAATGAAGGTAAAAACTTTTCACAGAAGTCATCTCAGTTTAAGCAAAGCATGTGCTAAATCTCAAATCAGTTCTACCACCACCCTCCAGAAGGTCACTAACAGGAAATTTCCACGTGGTTTGCTCCTGATCCCATTACATCTGGTCCTGACATATTTTTCTTTTCATCTTGACGTTTCTTTATGCAAATCCTGAGCCTCATGACGTGAGTTAAAGGAAAATCATAAGTTTCTTGTGAAACTGGAGTGGTTTTGATACGGTTTTCACCTTTGAGCCTGCATTTGGAGTGTGTTTGATTCATCCTTTGTGGTTGTTTATCACGTATTATGGATGAGAAATATGTAATTGCTTATGTAACTGCTGGATCCTGTTGCAGGAACAGACCTCCAGTTTACACCAGATGAAGGCTTGAACTCAGTGAGATTCACACATTTTAGTATTTTTAGTGGTGCAGCTCAGGCTCGTGAGCCTGGCTCCAAAGGGAATATTGGAGCAAAGTCCTTCTCCTGATAAATATTCTCCATATTCTGCAGGGCCTTTCTGGCTGCAGGAAGTTTTACCACCCTGTCTGCCCCCCCTCCTTTTTCCCATTTTCCCCCACCCCCTTTGGAAGGCACTCTTGAATTCACATCCTTAAAATATTTTTTCCTCTCCATAAATGCAAGATTTCCATTTCTGGCAGCTGATCCAGATTTTTTCCTCCCCCCCTTCTCCTGCTCCCTCCCAGACTTCTAAAGCTGGATCAAACATGCTGTGTGAAATGACGTGAGCAGCTTGGCAAATGTAGGAAGAAAGTCTTCCTCTAAATATAGCCCTGAAATGCTTTTTACATTTGCTGCAGTTTCCTTTGGCTGCTTTCCTTGCAGCCCCTTCCTCCTTCCCTTCCCATTGAGCAGCACAATCAGCACGTAGCCATGCCCAGCTCCTGGGTCCTGCTTGGGCTTCTTTAATCCTTTATGAATAATTGGGAGTCTTTCATTGCTTCCTCACTGAATTTTGAATACTTGGCTATTGATTCAGCAGGTGCTCGATTTAGGCATGAAAAGATAAAGGAGTCGTTGCGGGTTTTTTTAACTGAAGAAAATGTTATTTATTGGAATTACCTCATCTAACTGGTGGGATACCTTGGGGACATTGTAAACCATGAGAGATTCTTTACAAAACCAGGATTTAGCTTAAACTAAATGTGCAGATTGCCCTATTATATTTTATTTTGTTTTATTTTGGGGGAAAAGGAATTTTGAAAGGATGATTTCTCCAGGTTTTAGGAAGAGTGGAGCTGTGTCATCAGGCAGTGGTGGCTTGTTCCTTTCTTTTTCAATTTGTTATTTCTATTATTTTGATCCTGCATTTAAAATGTTTCTTTTCCCATGGGAAGACAGGAGCCAGCTGAGATTCTGAGGGAGTCGGGAAAGCTCAGCAGCACAGCCTGGGAAAATGTGTTTGTGTTTTCCTGCAGCACAGCATTCTATTCAATAGTCACTGCTTCCCCTGCTTTAGGAATTGCTTTCCTGAAAGGTTTTGCCCTGGTTTACACAAGAAAAAAAAAAACAAATTAGTGAATATCTTGTAATCCATTTTGTGGAACACATTGCAAAGGACTTCCACTTTTTTTTTTTTTTGAAGTCTTTCTTTGTATAAATAATTCCATTTAATTTTAAGGTAAGTATATCATAAATTGCTACTGAGTGCACCTTTAATTTATTGATATATGACTTTTTGAAGGGTCCCAAAATAGAAAATGGACATATTAAGCTTGATTTTGCCTTAGTGAAGTGGGGAGTAATCCCACTTGAAATTGATTTTAATGGGTTTGTCTTAAGTATTTTCCTTTCCTGACTCTCCCCAGGATGAAAACTTCATTGAAATATACACTTATTGGCAACTTTTATGCTGATTTTTTTCCTCTTGAAAATAATATATTTACTTCTGAAAGTACAGCCAGGTGTTAGAAAGGAGAGCTGGTATATGTTGTTCTCTATTCTTGATCTTGTCTCCTCTTTAAAATTCTAATTTTTTCTTTTGTTTTTCCAAATGAAATGCATTTTCATTTTGAAAATGAGCTAAGAGTAGGTTTCTTTCCACACTGATTTATTCAACTATCACTGCCAATATTCTGAGCTCATCGACTTCTTGCTTGGAGCAACTTGAAAAGTTGCCATCCCCTAAAAGTGACAGTCTTGCTTTGGAGTATTAAAGGATAATATGGAAATGAGAGACTTAAGAGCAAAATGTCAGGGAAACACCACTTGTATCTAATTGAGCATTTATCTGCCTTTATTTAATGTATCTATATCTGCCTCTCACACATCCTAGACTTATATCTACCAATGGCATTACTGACTGGTATAATAATTTGAAGACATCTGTATTTTTAAAAATTAGTATAACTCTTTCTTTTCTTGGTTCTTGAAACCCACTCATAACTTTTGATGCTGTAACAGAATTAGCATTTAACTGCTCTCTGCAGTTGAAGCGTAAAATATAATTATCCCGAGGCTTTTAAAGGAGAAAAGCAGGACAAAATCCACACTTCCAACAAATATTAGAGTATATGAGCTGCTCAGGAGCTTTGTGTAAGGGTGGAGCCTCATGGCTGTGAGTGTTCACATCTTCATTTCAGACCTGGGTGAGTTTTGGAGAACATTATTTCCATTTCTGGTGCAATCAGGAATCTGATCTAGAGGAATCTCTGGATAAAAGTGCAGTTTTACTGCTTCTCCAGAAGCCACCCCAGTTCTTTCTTTTCATATTCCTTAGCAGGAGCTCAGGTTTCAAGAATGTTCTCAGGAGTGGTTTTGATGATCTGCTTTGCATTCCCTTTCACCATCTGACAGGCCATTAGAAGAAACTGAGAACTTCTGCATAAATTATTGTCAACCCCGTGGCAATTACTGCTCTCATTAGTGAGCCACAAGAAATCAGTTTTGTGCCCTTTCAAAAAAGTGCAAAACTGAGGCTGGATTTTAGCAAATGCATCGTGAGAGAAAATTTCCAGTGCAGTGTAGCCTCCCCTGCAGTGAGGATACTGGGGGTGGCTGGGGAAGGGTAAAAATATTTTTTTCCTCAGGAAAATCCCTTCTTTGCTGGGGTTTGTGGATTTCAGGGTGTTCCCTGGGCATGCAGAGCAGGGGGTCTGTGATAGAGGATTTGATGAAAGTGTGAAATAACTTAAGTCACATTCAATAAATAAACTAAAATTAAAATTAAAAATAATTAAAATTTAATTAATTCATATTATCTTTTTGTAATGTAGATTAACGGTAGTCCAGGACTAAAACTGAAATGTTTGTAGATCAGTATATGGTGAGATGATTTTTATGTACAATTTGTAAAGAAATGCCCTGTCCTATTTTTAAAGCAGTGTTTGAGTAGAAAGAGCTCCTTCATGAGAGCGAGCAATGGACTCAAACCATCACATTGCTTGAGGAAACAGGGCACCCTTTAGGAAAGAGAGCTTGGACTCAGAAATGCAGCAAGGGAATGGGAAATGGCTTCTCTTGGCCATTCCCAAATCTCTGTCTTATTGTGCCTGTAGAAATGCAAGAATTGCCTCTTCTACCTGGTGCTTTGTTATTTTTGCTGGTATTGTGTTTTTTTGTTGTTGTTGTTGTTTTGTTTTGTTGTTGTTTGTTTGTGGGTTTTTAGGGCGTTTTTTGGGTTTTTTTGTTGGTTTATTTGGCTGGTTTCCTCACTTTTTTCCCTCAGAGCTCTGCTGGGGCAGTCCCTTCAGGCAGAAATGCCCTGATGTCACTTTGCAGCTCTGTCCCTTTTGGGGCTGCTTCCCCCCAGTTCCCCAGCAGGATTCTGCTGCTTTGCTGCCTCCCCCATCCCTACCCATGTGAACTGGTCAAAAATTCCCAGAGCCTTCTGCAAACACCTTCAGCAGCAAGTTCTGAGCCCTCTCCAGTCCTCCTCCTTGTTTCTATCTTCAGCCCCTGCATCACATGTGGATCTTATTGCAAAAATGACTGATGTCAAGCCCTGCCAATCATCTGCCCTTTACAGGAGTGTAACAAACCTTTTAACTGTTCTTCCTTGAATTCTCTTTCCTTCTGTGGATTGCAAAGGGGGCAGAAAGCAGCCTGAGGTAAGATGTTTTAAAATCCCAGCGTTTACCAGGAAGCCCCAGGCAGGATATCTATTTTCCAGTTTACAGCTTTCAGCAGCTTAAAGGAGGAATAAAAAGGAAAAGTCTTTTTGGTTCAGGCAGCTTCTGTTAAAATTCCCAAGGCAAAGGTCTGGATTGAAAACAAAGTGAAGTGATCAGTTACATTGCTCAGTGCTGCTCAGCAGGGCTTTGGCTGGGTTACCCTTCCCCTTATTCTTGCAACAAGTCAGAAAAATGCAGGAACAGGACATGGTCCCCTGAAATTTGGGCCTCCCAAGCCACTTGCATTGAGATGTTTGTGGTTTTATGACCACCAGTAAAAGCTGCTGCTGCCCAGGGCTGGAGCTGGGGTTCTTATTGGCCTCTCATGACCTAAAAGAGACTTTATTTCATGTTCTATAAATAAAAGAGATGTTATTTCAGTGGGTTCACGACTCAAGGGTTTTCTTATCATTTTTATAATGTGCTACATTGCTCAGTGGGGACTCAAGCTGGAGATCTGAACCAGAGAGGACATCCAGAAACTGGAGGGAAGGTGCACAGCTCCACAGCTCCTGTGAGGATCCTTGCCCTCTCTCTGTGGAGGCAGCATTTGCTCAGATTGTTGCACAACTGTTGTGGGAATGTCAAATCCCTGCTCGGATGGGATGGACAGCAGGGCCCAAACAGCCAGGGAGAGGCAGGAGCCAACCTGTCAGCATTGCCTGAGTCACCAGGTAGCAGGAAAGGTTCTCCCTGCAGAAGCCAAGGCAGCCAAGGGGGGTGGTTTAAATTAAAAAATCCTCTAAAAAGCAAGTCAGAGGGGGAGAAAAAACCCAAAGCCAAACAAACAGCTTCCCCATCTCCTTGGCCAGGTCTCTTGTGTGGGGTTGGAAGTGCTCTGCTGTTCCTATCTTCT